GGGAGGGGAGGGGAGGAGGCCAGATGGGAGGGAGGCGAGAGGGAGGGAGTAGAGAGGGAGGGAGGGAGGCAGGAGGTGGGGAGGGGAGCAGGGAGGGGAGCAGGTGAGCGAGGGGGGTGCTGCAGGCCCTGCTTCCTCTGTGCCGCCACCAGCCACGACCAGGTGATCGTCCCTTACCTGAACACGTGCACGTGGTCTGTGCGCAGGCGGATGTCCCCGGTGGCCAGGTCCACAGACTGGGGCACCAGCCGCTCCTCCAGCGTGTGGCCCACGCTGTGGCGGAGCAGCGGGCGGGTGGTGTGTGGGTGCGAGAGTGTGTCAGGATTGGACGCGAGGCAGCCGCGCGCAGGAGCGGTCCTAAAGGCACGCCAAGCCAAGCGGCCGCCGCCCCGGGCAGCCCCAGCCCCAGCCCACCACCACCACCTCCACCACACAGACCACCACACACACACACGCACAGGAGCCCCCACCTGAACCCCCTGTCCGACAGCACGTCGATCATGATGTCCACGGCGTGCGGGTGGCGGCTCAGCAGCGGCGTCTGCGTGCGGAACTCAGCAGCCCCAGCCAGGCTCGACTGCTTCAGCACCGGGATCACCTCCGCGTCAATCAGCCTGCGGGGGGACGCAGGGGAGCCGCGGCGGGGCGGTGGGGAGGTGGAGCGGAGCGGAGCGGAGCGGAGAAGAGCGGCAGGGCTCGGCGGCGGGCAGGGCTGGCGACATCCAGCAGCAAAACAGGGGCTGCGGCGTGGACCAACAGCACAAGCCGTGCCGCCAGGCCAGCGGGCACCGGCCAGCGGCGCACCGTATGACGTCCCCGAACAGCGTGTTGTCGCGCTTGCAGTAGGCGTCGAGGCGGAAGACGAGGCGCTGCCGCGCCACGCGCACCAGGTCGCGCGCCAGCGGCAGGTGCCTGGGTGCAGGGCCGGGAGCGGGGCGGGCGGCAGGCAGGCGGCGGAGGTGATGGGGCGACGGCGTCTGCGCGCTCCGGGATCAATATCCCACCTCGCACCCAGCACCGCCATGCACCCCCTCCCACCCCTGTGCCACCCACACCACACACCCAGCCGCGCACACACACGCAGTATGCGCACCTGATGGCGGCGTAGGTGGCCTCATCCAGGTCCAGGCTGGACTGGTAGCGCAGCTCGCGCATGATCTGCTGCCGCGCCTCCTCCAGCGTGCCCATGGCGTCGATGAGGGAGAAGGGGAAGAAGGACTTGAGGCGCAGGATGGTGTGGTAGTGGGCCTGCAAGGCGCACAGAGCCGCCGGGGCACGGGGCGAGAGTGGGGCAAGGCAGCTGGGCAGCGCTGCTGCGGAGGGCCGCGGCTTGAGGGTGGCAGGGCGGCGCCGCTAAACTGCGCAGCAGCTACGCCACGGAAGCCTCGACACCGGACCGAAATAAACTGCAGCAAACAGCGGGCTGGAAGCGGCCTGTGGAAGCGGCCTCGCACCTTGAAGACCTGCAGGCAGGCAGGCAGGCAAAGAAGGAAGCAGTCGGGCACGGCGCAGTCGAGCGCTCGGCTGTGCGGCAGCGCAGCGGTGCCTATGTGGCACGCCTCCACCCTTCAACCTCCAGCAGCCAGCCGGGCGCGGCGCCCACCCCGCCCGCACCTGGTACCGCCGCCTGCACAGCGCCTCGTTGACGTCGGTGGTGCGCACATCCCACACGTCGCCCGTCCCCGCATCCATCACCCGCTTGTTGTGCATGGCGGCCAGCTGGGCGCGCCGCATCTGCCGCCGCACGCTCTCCTCCTCATCCACATACAGGATGACCACCTGCGGGTGTGTGGGGGCGTGGAGGGTGGGCCTGGTGGGCGGCTCCGTGGATGTGCGCGTGCAGGGGAGGGAGACGCAGAAAGCAAGGGAGCAGCAGACGGCGACAGGCGACAAAGGAGGGCCGGCGGCGGGGCGGCGGCAGCGGGGGCCATAGGCAAGCGCGGCAGCCGCAGCCAAGCGCAGCAGCCAAGCGCAGCAGGCAAGCGCAGCAGCAGGGCGCGCGCGCCTTGAAGGACGGCCGCGGGAAGCGCCACTCCTCTGGCGTGTCTGCGTGCTGCAGGCCCAGCGCCATCAGCTTGTCGTGCAGCAGCTTGACAAAGTCGACTTGCAGGGCGGTGCGCGGGAAACCGTCGATGACCAGCCCCGCGCCGTCGTTGGTCTGCGGCCGCGGGGGCAGCAGCAGCGCGGCATGCAGCCCAGGGTGGTACCGCAGCAGCAGCAGCAGCAGCCAGGCCAGCCAGCCCCTCGTCCCCCCGCGCTGTCCACAGCTTCCAGGCCCAGCCCAATCAAGGGCCTCACAAGCCCCCAGGCTCCCCCCCCCTCCCCCT